ATTACATTAGGCATAGTCTATTCATATAATACACTTATACAGATATTTACATGATGTATATGAAATTCATATTATAATGTGACAAAAATTTTATTATTCTCATTTTTATGAGAATAAAAATTTTTTATTCTCATGTTGAGAATAAAAAACAGAACTTAGTCAACTGCTCATTAAGAATTAAAAAAAAGCAGTAACAGTAACATCTCTATGTATTAAAGTGATTTTAGGGTTTCAATCTCTTCTTGTACTTCTTTTGTATTTTCCAACTTTTTTATTGATTTTATTTTTTTTAAATACACAACAGCGGAATGCATTACAATTGTATTTTCCAACTTTTGAGCAACAAATATGCACTATAATCAGAGTGCTAAGTTGATCATAGAAGACACTATTGCCTTGAAGGAATTACAAAGTTTAGTAAAATGAAGCTTTTCTTAAAGTCATTATTTGAAAAACAAAAACAGGGTCTTGAGAGTATACAAGTTGGAAAAATAGAGCCCCATTCATAAATATAAGTTGGCAAATATTAGCTAGACTTTATTACAGGACTCAGAGATATTTTGCAAATAGCTATTTGAAGAAAATGGACAATACACAGTGTAGCAACCAAGTCAAAAAGGTAGCAAAAGCACGGGCTAGAAGAGTAAGATGCAGAAGTATGTAGCAAAAACTGCCAATTATGACACACCTGCTGATACGACATTGAAGAGAGAAAAGGTAAGCTTTCATTATCTGTGTCAAACATGGGGTCATAAAATGACTTAGCAGATTTAGAAGAAAAGCAAATAAAACTAATGACGTCTTATGGTGTTATCTGGGCCATCAAGATGCATCCCATGCAAATCCTTCCCTATTACCAAGTCTACACTCCCACTGCATGTCATAGATCACTGTTGTGTTTCCAATTATTCACTGTCTCTTAAGAGAATTAGATTTCTCACCCTGGTGACCATAAGACCAGACAATGTGACTTTCTTCATTTCAATGGAATGTCAGAAGAAGTGACAACTATCCCCTTTCTGTGGATATTGTAGAAGCCATTGAGTGATCTCACTAGTGCACTTTTCCCTATAATACCAGAACCACATGCCTACAAGTATCCAAATCTCCATTCTAGATCTCAGAAGAAATGACATAAGGCACAGACATAGGAGACACAGCTAACTTGCCCTGTGGGCAAGAAATACCTTTATACTTGCAAGCCACTAAAATTTGCTTACAAATCTTAAAGGTTACTTGTTGCTTCAAGACAATCCAATAAATGCTAACTTCTGATATTCTTGCTCTTCTCCCAGAGGGGGCTCCTCCCTGGCTCACTCACTCTTCAGCTATTTTTTCTTTTTTCTTTGCTAGTTTGTAATAATACTCCCAACTATACTTTTAGGCTATTCTTTTGAAAAAAATACTGCCTTTTATTTCTTTTTTTAAAAATGTATTTAAGATATAGATAAGTTCAACCAATGGTTCTATTCTATGAGTTCCAATGGTAAAGCAATAGCCAAGAAACTAACAAATTTTTTACACAAATATGATGAGCCCCTCTCCCATTTATCCCCTTCCCTCCTTTCAGCACTCAATTATGGATAGCATAGTGTGTGTGCCCAATTATGAGACAGAAATCAATCAAATTCACACAACACACAATTGAAAGACACAGGTGTGCCACACATGAATATGATAGATTTCACTGAAGAGTTTTAAGAAACACACTCACCTGCCCACACCCAAAGAATGGACTAAAAACCACTAGGTACAGAGAAAGTGAGGCTTTTTACTGATGGTCTTGCAAGCTCTGCGGTGTCTGGGTGTGCAGAGCAGTGACAGTCAGCAATTTATCCCCTAGTGCACAAGGTCCTTCTCCCGGTTCCTCATTGGCTAAGTACCTTGGGGTGCACAATTTTCCTGAATAGTCATCTAGGTTTTACTGTCTCTTATTAGATTATTTAAGGAAATATACCTTTACTTGTCTCCACCTCTCTTTGTTCTCCTGTGGCTGGAAGACCTTCTTGGTGTGAATGCATCTTAGCATATGTGGGTTTATCTCGATTGGTCAAGCCAGTCCTTTGCCCCTCACCTCCTGTTTGTCAAGGGACTGTGAATTTTTCATACTCCAGTGTTAACTATTTATAATTTTCCACTCTGCTCTCCCCTCTAGCTGCTTTTCTTATATCCCAAGTAATTTTATATTTAAGGCCAAATACTGTATACTAAAAATGGATCACTGGACTTTCTATTTCTCATAAAGTCAAGAATGGCTTCCCACGAGAAAAGTGAAGCAGGAGGAATCACAATACCAAACCTTAAATTATACTACAGAGCTATAGTAACAAAAACAGCATGGTATTGGCACCAAAACAGATATGAAGACCAATGGTGCAAAACATAAGACGCAGAGATAAATCCACATAAATACAGTTATTTCATACTAGACAAAGGCACCATAAACATACATTGGAGAAAAAATAGCTTCAACAAATGGTGCTGGGAAAACTGGAAATCCATATGTAACAAAATGAAATTAGAGCCCGATCTCTCACCCTGTGCAAAACTCAACTCAAAGTAAATCAAGGACTCAGGCATTAGACCAGAAACCCTGCACCTACGAGAAGAAAAAGTAGGCCCAACTCTCTATCATGTCGGCTTAGGAACCAGCTTCCTCAACAAGACTCCTGAAGTAAAATCAAGAATCAATTAATGGGATGGTATCAAACTGAAAAGCTTCTTCACAGCAACAGAAATAATCAATAACAAGAAGAGAGAGCCTACAGAATGGAAGAAAATCTTTGCCACCTGCACCTCAGAGCATTAATCTCCAGGATATATAAAGAACCCAAAAACCTTAGCACCAAAACAAAACAAACAAACAAACATCAACAACAACAAAAAATGAAACTAATCAATAAATGGATAAAGGAACTGAATAGACACTTCACAGAAGAAGAAATATGACTGGTCAACAAATATATGAAAAAAATGTTCAATATCATTAGCAATTAGAGAAATTCAAATTAAAACTGAGATTTCATCTTGCTCCAGTCAGAATGGCGATTATCAAGAATACAGGTAATAAAATAAATGTGGGTGAGGATGTGGGGAAAAGGCACACTCATACATTGCTGGTAGGACTGCAAATTGGTGCAACCACTCTGAAAAACAGTATGGAGATTACTTAGAAAAATTGGAATGGAATCACCATTTGACCCAGCTATCACACACCTCAGCATATACCCAAAGGACTTAAAATCAGCATACTACAGTGACACAGCCACATCAATGTTTATGGCAACTCAATTCACAATAGCTAGACTATGGAACCAACCTAGGTGCCTTTCAACAGATGAATGAATAAAGAAAATGTGGTATATATACATAAGGTAATATTATTCATCCTTAAAGAAAAATGAAATTATGACATTTGCTGGTAAATGGATGGAAAAAAATAATTTTTTATTAATTTCACTTATTATGCTAAGTGAAATAAGTCAATCCCTCAAAACCAAAGGCCAAATGTTCTCTCTGATAGGCGAATGCGGACTCTTAATAGATGGAGGTGGGGAGGTGGGAAGGTTCACCGGATTAGACAGGGCAAAGTGGAGGCAAGGGAGGGAGGATGGGAATGAGAAAGACAGGAGTGAATTGGACATAACTTTTCTATGTTCATATATGAATACACAACCAGCATAATTCCACATCATGTACAACCAGAAGAATGAGAGGTTATACTCCATGTATATATGATATGTCAAGATACATTCTACTGTCTTTTATAACTAGTTAGAACCAAAAATATATTAAATGGCTTCCCAGAACTCACTCCTGAGCCTCAATCTTATGCGTAAGTAGTGATTATGTAGAAAGAGCCACAAAAATATTCTAGGAGAGAAAACACCATAAAAATGCTATGTAGACTTAAAAACAAATGTGACAAGTAGGAGATATCGAAGTAAAACCACTATCAGAACCAAATAATAAGGTAAGCCAGGTGCAACTCTGCCTACTCTCAGGACCTTGTGGGATATATAGAGGAACGGCTTTATCCCTTCATCTCTACTAAATTAATGCAGAAATGGAAGTGAACTATAATTGTTTAAGAAAAGGAAAAGACTATCCATCCCCAAATAGAGATAATGGATTAGAAAGGAAGCACAATGACGGCATTTAAACGGGTTTCTTTCTTCCCGAATTCCTACCTTTTTCCCATTCTTTTCCTCAGGTTTCAATGAAAAGGAATGCACCTTAGAAGGAAGGTGAATGTTGTTGTCATGTTCTGATTTTTTTCTTTCTATGGGATAGATTCTTAAAAGTTGGATTGATAGATTAGAACTAACTATAGTTTTCAAAATAGATAGGACTGAAATATTTTTTTAAATATTTGTGTTTTATGTGTGTGTGTGTGTGTGTGTGTGTGTGTATTAGAAATAATGCTGATTTCTTCATTTTTTTTCCAGAGGTGGTAGTATTTTTAAATTATATCAACCTAATGGTTGGGTTAACAAATACTACATTAATTTTCATTTTCATGTAAGAAAGCTTGTTCTAGATTGTTGGTGGGATTGTGATGTAAACCGATTAAAAATAATTTCAGCCTGTGGATAGCATGTTGGTAAGTTTAATATGAAGTTCGGAGTAGAGAGAGGAGACAAGAAAACACATGTCTGCACCAAGAAAAATTAGTGTCATAGTTTCAGGGGAAATTGAGGGTTGTCCTAAGCTTTAGCAGACATTTTTTAGTTTAAAGTATCTTTAGTAGAAAAGGATAAGCCCAATGGAGGAGAGAGGAGAGTGTGTTAAAGTTCTTGTAAGATCATTTTTCATTCTTTTGGCTTCTTCTAAAGGGATTCATAGTGATTAAAACGTAGAATTTGGAATAGAAACAAATAAAATTAAAGAAAACGAGGAATAAAAACACTGCCTATGACCCTAAGGACACAAACAGGAGAGGTTTAGGGTATTTTACTTATTGAGTATCCTGTTTTTAAAAAAATTACTTGCAGAATTACCTGACAATGATTTCCTTTGTTATGTTGTCCAAATCAAGTAAAAGTCTACTCCTTTCTTCTGCTTCTTGAGAATGTGCTATTGAAATCTCTGAAAAGTCTTTTTTCAAGTTAGAAAGCTCAATATTCCATGTACTTTTCTTTAAAAAAAAAATAAAAGAATCATTTATACATGTTTAATAATCAAAAAAAGAAAATATATGTAATAAAAATCTTAATTACAAGAGCCAATATTTGAGAATAGAGTGTGGAGCTCTGCTAGGAAGCAGGAAAAGGTCAACTTACTGAGGCATAAAACTTATTGAGTACTTCCAAATACTGCTGTCGATATCCATTTTGCTTCAAACACTGGTCCTCATAAAGTTGTTTCAAATCTGCGAGCTAAAAAAATGCACAGAAAATAAATTAGTTGTGGATACTCCCCTATTTTTATGTAGTGAGAAATAGATTATACTTTATCTTATATAGCTTCCAAAACTCAATTGATATTGAATAAAATAATATGAAATAACACTAACAGACTGCTTCGATTTGAAAATGGATAGGAGATTCTGCTAAAAATATAACAAACCAAGTCTAAAGCCTGATTTTCAAGTGTACAATTAATCATGATAATACAGAATATGTTTTGGCTATATAAAAATTTTAAAATATCAGAAAATTTTGAACCATAATTCACAACATCAGCACATTAAAGGAGAAAATAGCATGATCATTAATACTTTGCAAAATAACCATTTGATAAATTCACTATCTAATTCTCATAATTTTTAAACTAGTAAAAGAAAAAATACTCAAAATATAAAGAATCAACAAATATCCAAATAAGTTATAAAATGCTGAATGCATGCTTATTAAACTCAAGAATAAAACCACAGTATCTTTTATGACCACCATAATTAATCATATTTTGTGAAAGATTAATCATAATTAGATAATTAAATCAAATATTGCTTTTAAAATAATAAATGAATAGATAATATATCTTTCAACTTCAGATATTAGGATTAGATACCTAGGGAAACAGAACATTCTATGTAAAACTATGGTAAATGATATTTTTAAAATTACTGGATACAAAGATGAGGAAATTAATAGCTTTTATTTATAAGAGTAATAATCTTTTCAAAATTTACTAACAATAGAAGTTTTGTTAAAATATAAAATATTTGGGAATAAATTTTTAGAAAAAGAAAGCGCCCATATAAAGACAATAAAACCTCTTATAAAAAGACTTCATCAAGATCCAAAGAAAATAATAGTGTGTAGTGGAATATTTTAATAGAATATAATGTCAATTCTCTTAAAATTAATATAAAAATATAATAGATAAAGTATTCTCTTATCAATTGCATAAAATGAAGTTTTTATGGAAGAAAAAGGGATATGAATGAATAGTTATGAGGTATCTGAAAATGAAATTAAAGTTGAAAACTTGCTACCAGATATTAAAATGTCCTATAATACCACTATATTGCAATAGTTTTTATTTTTGTCTTTTTAATAAATAAGAATCCTATGGAACACTAGGGACCAGAAATATATCTGAATTAACATTTTTAAAGGTAGTGTCTGAGTTCAGTGGGAGAGAATTTATTTAATTAATGTGGCTATAATAACATGGAATCTGTTTTTAAAAAAATACAAAATGCTCTCTGCCTCACATCTACTTCACATGATAACAAAAACAAATTTCAAATGGGTAAATAAGGCAAACACAAAACAATACAAATTATTAGGGGAATAAATCTGAGTTTTCTTGTGTAATCTTTGGCTAACAGAGAGTCACCTTGCCAAGTAAAATAAGAGATCTGTTGATATATTTGATGACATATTTTATAAAAGTTGTGTCGTAACAGACACCATAAACAACATGTGAAGGAAAAATGAGACCATGAGAAATGTGAAATACAAGGCCGACATCCCTAGAATTAGTCCTTTTAAAGGACATCAGTGAAAACAGTAGAGTGAAAAATAGGAAACTCACTCTTCTCGTTCGTTCATAAACGTAATAAGACAACTGGCAAAAAAAAATTTAAAAATAAGTCAAAATTAGCCCTCTCAGAATTCTGGACATTAACCAAAGGCTCTTATTCAACAAAAATGCCCCAATCTTAGCAAGAAGAGTGAGTCTTGTGGTGTTTTAATTTTTCCTCATCCTTTTCTCATTTCTAGAGGAGTCTTGAAGAATTAACAGCCACATTTATGGTGAAAACTAGAACTTGGAAGTCAGTAGAGGAGCAAAAACAGAGCGCTTTCAAAGCACTGTTCTCAAAGAATTCTCCTTAGGTGACCTGTCTGTTGTGTTTATTTTTGCTTTTATTTATGTTTTGTAGGACTCCATTTGCAGGGCTCACCCTGTACAAAATTTCTTTCCCAAGAAAATGTTTTCCCAGGGCATGATTGTCAAAATATTTAAGGCAATTAATTGACTCTGTGGCCACTTGAGACAATGGAAAACAGTCGAACAATAGAGTCATCTCCAAAGTTACAATAAAAGCTGGGGAATTCTGTTCATAGTAGCTTTGTAAAGCTCCAACACATTCTTGGGAACCTAGAAGGCTACAGCACCTAGGATGTGTCAAAGCCAGAACCATTCACACATCTGCAAAAACTGAGTGGATTAGACCCCCCAAAAGTAGGATGTGAAAACTAAGTTGACAGCTGCCTGGTTGAGTATTGAAGGTGTCTAAATAAACACACAGAGCCTCCCAGCAAAGACAGGGAGACTTCTTGTTTCCAGAATTTTGAGAATCATTGTTAATCATTAACCAATCACTAAGCCGCAAAGAGACTTTGGTGGTTACAGAAAACAGACTTTACAGAATTCTCCTAGAAAGGTCTCTAAACAAACAAATGGCAACGTTGGTAAACACCAACAGGAGCAAACTCTGAGAAAGAGTGAGAATCAGATGCCTAGGGTCACCACATTATGTTATTTAAAGTGTCCAGTTTCCAACAACAATAAATACATGAGACATGCAAACAAGAAAGTAGGGACCATAGAGAAGAAAAAAGCAATTAGTAGAAGCTGTCCCAGATGAATCTTAGACATTGCTATTTTAAATATCTTTAGAGCTAAAGGAAAATGCTTTAAGAACTAAAGGAAAGCATTAAAATGGTGTTTCAACAAATACAAAATAAGTTGATAGAAATTATAAGAAGAGTCAAATAGAATTTCTATAATGGAACAACTACAGTAACGAGAGTAAAATTTCTATAGTGCTTAACATCATGGGTGAGCAGGCAGAAGAAACAATGAACAAACTTGAAGATGAGTCAAGTAAGATTATCTCAGTTGAGGGAAGAAAGATAAAGAAAAGAACAACATGTAGAAAGGGTGGGAAAACAATTGGGGTGCATTTTTTTCCTTTCCTTCCTTCTTCTCTCCCACATTTTGACAATCTTATCACAAGGCAGGTGTACCCGAAAAGCCAGAATATTGGTGGCATGATATTTCCAAGAATAAACTAAATAACTACTTCTTTGTATCTTTCACAAACAAGAAGTACCTTGAAAAACACCCACTCACGACAGAAGGGAAACCTCAGAGCTTAGCCTATTCCAGCAACTTTAGCAAAAGCTGGTCCCTTCCTCTGTTCAGGAGCAGAGTGGTCCTGCTTTGACTCACTGTGTCTCCCTGGACCAAAAACTCCCCTTTATTGTCTGTGTAGGCTCCCAAAACTCGACTCCATCTCATTTCTTTCATTTCACACAGAAGATATTATTTCCAGTAATGTTCATATCTATATAAAGACATGTGACTGATTCCATCATGTTTTTCACTAGTATCTTTACCTCTACACTTAAAATCCTCTTTTACCCTTTATGCATGGTTGGGTCTATAGAAGGGTGAAAATTAGGAATAGACCCAATACCCATTTCTAATGTGCTTTCTAGCTTCAGAGGTGGCAGCTATGATGCATACAATTATATATATTTCAGGTATCAAACAACTGTCAATATCTAGAAGAGGGATTCCAATGTGTTTTCCAGTGGAAAGAATAAAAATTAACCATGAAAACTCCACTGCCTGAGGGTCAAAAGTAATGATATGTACCACCATGCCTCTAATAAATGTTTGTGGAAGGCTCCCTAAATGAAGTTATGAGCACACCTTAACCACTGCATGTGTAATTTTTGCAATCTGCAACTTTGGAATAAGTGCTATTAGTTTAGCCCTGCCCTCAGCCATAAAATCCACAGAATCACTATATTATGTACTAATTCATTTCCTAATATAAATAATAACACACACACAACTTTGAAAACATTAATCACTGGAATATCTAACATTATATGGTAAATTATGAATAGTAATCTTTGCAATTAAAAATTGAAGAAATATGAATGGCTACTAAAAAGGAAAAATATTCACTATGAGTCAGGAAAATGAAAATTAATGTAGTATTTGTTAACCCAATCATTAGGTTGATATAATTTGAAAATACTACCAGTGCTGGAAAAAAAAATCAGTATTATTTCTAATACCCACAAACACACACACACATAACACAAATATTTTAAAAAATATTTCAGTCCTATCTATTTTGAAAACTATAGTTAGTTCTAACCTATCAGTCCAACTTTTAAGAATCTATCCCATAGAAAGAAAAAATCAGAACATGACAGCAATCTTCATCTTCCTTCTGTTTGGAGCAGAGATGGACTCAACACAGGCAGCCTTGAGCTAAAAGGTCAAGAGACCACCTCAGAAGCCATTGCTTACATGTTTGCCAATATGGGAAACATTCCTGGAAGTCTAGATGAGAGCTCTCTTGCTAGCTTTGCAAACTTGTTGAAATCTCTAAATCCCCTTCAGCCTAAAACAAAGGGATTTCTCTTTTCTGCACTACACCTTGACTGATGTTATGGCACATACCTAGTATGTAGCATGTGTTCGCTATTAAAAAAATGTGTTAGGTTTAATATCTAATTCTCTTTATTCAGTCCTACAATGTATTTTTAAATAGAAGAGCAAGTTTACTAGATATATATGTAGGTCAAATTTTTTGTTTTTGTGAAAACCAAATAGAAGAAAAACTCATATGTGATTTATTTTGTGTGTGTGTATACACACACACATATACATCCTAGCATACATATATTTATAAAAGCATAGAAAAATGGATGTAAAATGATACACTGTTCTGGTAACATTGGTACTTCATGGGGAATCCAAAATGGAGAGAAAGAGAGAGAGAGAAAATTTATAGTTAAATATTTTTTGTTTTATATCTTTGGCCTTAGTAAATGTGTTATTTAAAATTTAAGAGGAAATTATTTTAAATTTAGAAAGGCAACACTTAGTCCTCACAATCTCATTGTTATCAATCAGGTGAACCAGTCAGAGAATGGAAATTACTACTAATCGTTGTGAA